ATAAATAGAATTATGGAAGTAAGACAAATACCAGAAGAATGGAAACAGTATCTGTTTACAAAACAAGGGGAATATGAAACAGTCCACAAACTACAGGCTCATAAAACTACTTGGTAACATGAAAATATGGTAGGGACTACTCCAATATTTTCATTTTGTGTTCTAGAGTTAGACCTCATAGTCATAGCCTTATAAGAAAAAAAACATATTTAAAGAAAAAACTTTTATCTAATTAATATAAAGTAGTATAAAAAGGCATCTGAAGTAAAAAATAAGTTCAACTGGTCCTATTGAAGCACAAGCACGAAATCATTTTACATTTGGAAATTGAAAATTGTTGAATGAAATTAAATATTTTTGTCTCTGAGTATCCTAAGCCCAGACGGATTTCTCAACTGCATCTTTATGTCGGTGCCATTAATCGAGGTAATGTCATCTACAGGAGGCTCTACGAAGGTTATGCATTTTCGCTATCATAGGAAGTTGAATTGACTATCATAGGAATTTGATCTTATAATTTGGATTGGCTTCTAGTTTTGAATTCAACTAAGACATAATCATCTAAAGCGGGAAGGCTGAACAACTCTGCAAAGTGATCAGGCTCAACAGCAAACAAATCCTCATCCATCTCTACATCGTGTTCCGTGTCTACATATTGAACATCTTCTTTCTTCATCTGATAATTCAATGTCCCTTGTTTGTGCAAATTTTTTGTTCTTTAGTCTCCTTTTTGATGCATTCTTTATTGAAAGTGGAACCGGCTTCTTCTTTTCTTTTTCGATCAGTTTTTCATTTTTCTGCTTTTGGATAACCACGAAAATCTTCAGGAGAGATAAAAGCTTGACTTAGATCAGCTCTTGGACCAAGGACACTGATTTCTACATGATTTGAAGTGGCTTCTTCTTCTACTTGTAGGAGAGAACTATTGGGCGACTCACTTGGCACAGTATAACCGTGTGTTGGGTGGCTGATGATCAACAGTGCCAGCAAGCCGTCAATCAGTCCATATAATTGCACAAGAAGTTTGCTTCGGTAAAAACATGTCAATCAAGTGGATGTATCCACTTTTTTGAATCCTGAAATTTTATCGTAAGGCGTCATTATTTTCTGATGAGCTGTGTTCACAAGCGATGCTGCATTATAAATTGATGATGTTCTCACAGGTTTTTGCATCATCCAAGGGTCAAGAGCTGCATTATAATAAGTCTTAAAAGAACTAAAGACAACAATGTCTAGTGGTTACATTTTATTGGATAAATGGGGAGGTAAAATCAAAAGGGAAATGCCTTTTTCCTTTCAAAGCATTAGAGCTTCCAGGGACAAATGGCTTTCTACGTTGTAATAAATTAATAGAGGGGTATAGCGAATTAAATCAAAAAACTGAAACGACTTTTTTTCTTGCATACATGAGAGCTTTCAGGGACAAATGCGTTTCTACGTTGTAATAAATTAATAGAGCCGGGTATTGTAACGACAATATTTTGCTTACCTCAGGGCAAGAACATGAGGGGTAGAAGATTGGGCAAACAAAATAATCGTAACAAGTGCGAACAACACTCAGTTGGTTGTTGGAGAGCTGGGTCGTGGATAAGTTTAAATATAGGGGTTGGATTGGGGTATCTACTAAAATGAAGACAAAGGGATACTTACATAAATCTCCTGGGCAGTTGATACAACGAACAAATCAGAATTAGACTGGGAACACCTCAAGGAATTTAATATAGGGCGCCACTTGAAAGATCCTAGTTTACTGAAGGAAAAAAAATTCTTCTTCCTTAATTTCTAAAATACATAAAAAGGGTTTAGGAGATTTTTCTAAATAAAAATAAAAAATAGGTTAGAGAAACAAATCTAACGTTTATTATTGTCTCGAACATTTTTTTTTTAAATACAGCTTATACAAAAGGCATACTATATAAAAATAGTTGTCAAATACAAATAAAGAAACTTACATGTTATCTGTTTACAAAGAGGTTACAAAAACCTTCGAAATGGTTCCTAGTAAATAACGTGGCCAAATTAGATTAAAATTTTATGGATATCCTTTTGTGAAAAATAAAATTTAATCTTTACTATAAAATCAAAATATCTTTTACAACAGATTAAAAATCAAACTGTCATACGTCAAAACAAACATTTTTAAAACAGGATGAAATTATGACAATGCAGTTTAAACCACGCCCTAACATAATATTTATTTTAATTACAATTTTTTTTTTTAAATAATTTATAAAAGAAAGCAAATTTTGTCTTTTTAAAAGAAAATGTCTATTTTTACTTTAAAAATTAATAACGTAAATGTTACCTCAGTTCACACATGTTAAATTAAACTTTTGAACAACTGGCTAATAGGTATCTGTGGGGTATCTAATTGACCATTCATCAACGGAAAACTTTCTTGGAGGCTGAAACTGGCACACTGGCACATTCAAATCAAAACTGCTCCACTATCATTCTACATGAGGTGAAGAGGCATCTTGGAAAGGAACTGGATTTCTCAAAAAAAAAAAACGAAAAGAAAGCAGGAACTAAACTTGTTCACTTCTCAAACATTATAAATCTTCAGCAAAATCAAAACAGTGGTCACTCTTTCAAATACGACATATTACATAGAGTGAAAATTCCACCATTTTTGGCGAATTAATGCCAGCTTACCACATCACAATTAAACGACCTTTCCCTTCGAGCAATTCTTCATCACTGACTCTCTTGACCTCGATCAGAGAACTACGAACCACTCTCTTTTCCCCGCACAACCATTGCCATCTTGTCAAATCAACAAATTCTTTACTCAAACTCGTTCAAACTTCCGGCGTTACTACGCTTTAGAAAAAATAATACCAGGCTTTCAATATTTTTCTGGGAACGTTGAAGTTAAAAAGCCATAAATTGTTTTCCTTAGCAAATACGTCTTTATTTATTGAAGAACTATTGCGTATGTAAAAATCTCTACAGACAACACATTTCTAGCATACCAGGGGCGTACTGTGACAGATATAGAATCGAATTTATATTATTCTTTAGACATTAAATATAAAACGCTACAGTATAGCGAAAGAAATGCTTAATAACTTCCACAAATAGTACTGATGTCATCCAAATAAAAGGTATAAATAAATTACTGAATTGTTTTTAAATTTAATTAAGTTTATTGTTTTTAAGTCTATTATTAATTGATTGCTTTTTAAACACTTAACATTTATCTGTCCAATTCGAGAAAACCGGTCGCATGTTGATAACGGAGAACCATTTAACGTCCGCTCGGTTTGGAGTATCGATGTGAACTGTTCTTTTTCTTGTATTCTAAAAAGCTTAGTATAAGCCTACTTCATTTAGCTTTCGGTATGGCCTTTCTTTTTATATATTTTTTTTCAATTTCTATCATTTTTTATTTCTCCTCTTCTCCTTTTTATATTAGGTAATCTTTGCAGGTGATAATTTCACAATTAGTGACCAGTCTTTTTCGTTCCTTCCCTGAATTTTGTGGTCTTTTATCTATTTTCATAATTTTTGACAACAATTCCTCAAATGATTTACGTGTTTGTAAAGATGGTCCAATTGGCGAGACAGGGCTTTTTTTTTCTACTTGAACTTCGTTGACAGAACTAGCTTCTGTTCTTTCAACCGTAATGTTGTAATGTAACGTAAACGTAATTGTACCGTATCTGAAGAAGTATGGGATAGTTACTGAGTGTTGGACATTCAAAGAAACAGTGGCTTCCAATTGTACTGTAGTGGGATTGTGAAGATTATTTTTATACCTAAGCAAATAATATTTTTTGAATATTGATGTAGGAATTGTCCCAACTATTTTTCAGACCTCTAAAGACTGACACATCTAATGGTTATAATAAATGTGGCGTGTGTGAAGGTAACTTCATAATGTAATTTCATTTTTTTGTGCTAACTTAATCAAATCTGTGGACACATGGGTAGCATGGCTATCATAAATTAATAAAACTGGGCTATCCTTTGTAATATTAGGTAAAAAACATCTCTAAACCGATTAAAAAACAAAGTAGTTTCTCATTCTCATTAATCCAATTATCCATTACGTATTTACCTTTAAATACACAGAGGAGGTATCATTTAACCATCAGCAGATGTGTTTTCTCGGCCAGGCGAACTGGTCTTCCGTATGTTTTTTGTTCGAATTGCACCAATTACTTTTGTTTTACTAGGGTAGTGGCAAAATGACGTCTCGTCGCAATTAAATATTTATTCTGGTTTTCCCTTAAGGTTTAGTCCTTTCACAGTTTTTGTTAATACTTGAAAAAAAATAAAGATGACCCAAGGGTTCACCTGATCGTATCTAACATGTTCAATACTCCTAGGTTTCTTTACAGACAGATGGTGCCTAGTTTTAAATGATCTAAACCAGTCAGAGCCTGGTCTCTGGTCTTTAAATCTACTCTTGATATTATTCTGTCTTATATACAATTGTACTAAGTCTAATACTTCCTCTCTGGATAGGCCAAACCTATTTTTGTCCATAATTTTTATGCAATCTGCAATTTTTTTCCTCAAGAGACGACAAATACGACAACTCCTTCACCACCGTTACCTTATGTTGAAGTCAGTCCAGTTCCACGCGTTCCTTTGACTCGATGCTTCAGAGTAGATCGTGGAATATTGTAAAATAATGATGCACCAGTGCCGTCTTTATGCCATTTCTCCATTGCCCTATCAGTCTTCCGTGGTATATGAGAAGCCAGCACCTTTCTGAGTTTTTCTTATGTACGTTCGTACCATTTTCTGAAACAAAAACAATCTGATATAACCTAGGCTTTGAAATTTTAAAGAATGGAAAAAAATTAGGTCCTGAGGGATAACTGGACTAGGTCCTGGTCCAATTACTCCCGATATGGGTCCCAGTTATTCTGAAAGAGCAAAAGCTCTCAAAAGTACAATGATCTTGAATGTCGACTGTTTATTTTACATGTAACAGTAGTAGAATTAATTTATTTTATGCTTCATAAAACACGTTAAGGAATGATTTTAGACGGACTGCATAAACATATATTATTTGAGAAAAGTTATTAAAAATAAATTAAAATTATAAAATTATTAAAAAATAAACAAAAATTTAACATTTTATAAAGAGTTCTTTGAAATAGATAAATTTAAGATTTATCAAAATGTGGATTTAATATATTCGTACATTAAAAATATTCACTGTAGCATTCACTTGTCGATCAGTATTAAAACAAGACTAATCAATCTAATCCTTGTTTTAACATGTCTATAAGTTCGTATTTCTCTTGTTCTTTCTCTAGCTGTTCTTGTAAAAGATTTTCTACTATTTCTTGAAACCGTTGCCTTAGAGCAAGATTTTCAATATTTTCAATTTTCATTTCTTGTTGTTGTCTTTTTGCTTTCAAATCGGCAATTTCTATGTTAATTTCATCGAGTCTACTTTGAATGGTAACTGAAACGTGAAATATGAGATTAGTTTTAATATAGTTCACTTCTAGCGAAGTAATTTTAGTCGTAAAAAAGATAGATTTAGTCACTTACTTTGGAAATTTCCTTTATGCTCTGGTGCTCTTAAGTATGGCTCTGCATATGAAGTACTTGGTGGCTGGTAGTAATCCATTTCTTGCATTAAGTTTGAAGACTGTTCCATTTCTCTAAACATATCACTGGTAAATTCTGTGAGAATTTTTGAATCTGCCGAATGATTCTACAAAATAAACAATATTTATGAAAATTACTGTCATTACTTAAGACAAAAAAACTAATAATAAATTCAATAAATAAACAGTGTTTGAAGTTTTACCAGAACAGAATTGGAATCAGTAAGATGACTTTCTGCTGAATTTTGGCTAGTCTCGTCCAAAACGTCCAGTACATTAAGATGAGCGTCTTCATCTTCTGAATCACTAACTGCTCCTCCAAATATATCATGCTCGGCAACATTTTTAATGGGTTCTTTGGGGCTTTTCTTAACTACCGTACCTTTGTTTATTTTATTTTCATCTTCTTCATTAATTACTTCCCATTTAACACTGACCTACAAGTATAACATTTCAAACATTTAAATCATAATATATGGTGTGATTTGAATAATATGCATAACGAGCCCTAACATGTTGGAACAAGCAGTTATTTTGCGAATATAATGCCAATTTACCGAAATTATTTTATTTAATTTTTTTTTTAATTGTAAATATATTAATAACATTTTTATGATGTATGGAATTATTTTTGGAGCTTAATTATATATTTTATATTGAATATTATGTAATTAATTGTTTGATAATCGAAAACTGCTGACAACTAAATGTTGAAACATGTGTTGCTTTTCCTCACGTTTCTTAAATTTTATCAGCCTGACAAAAAGAAGGATTTGAAATCAAACATACGAATAGGTCTTAGTTTTTATAAGGTATGTTTGATAGGTTCTTCTTTGCAAACCATTGCTGAGGGAAACTCAAGAGGAGGATCGTTACATTTGAGTTAAAAAAAAACTTTCGTGGACCAAACATAACTGGGACAAAGTTATCTATAGCGACGAAAGCAAATTTGATGTCTGTGTGGGAGATTATCGAAAGCGTGTGATTCGGCAAAAAGTGTAATTCGAGAAACATTCCATAAGGATTTTCTCTAAAGAACTGTAAAGTTTCCATAGGGCGTCATGGTGGGGTTGTATGTCGGCAAAAGAGTTGGGAACATTACATTTTATTGAGGCCATAGTAATCGCAGATAAATATCAATATATCCTTGAAGTTTGGCCTCTACCAAGTGCGGCATAGTTATATCCATTCGGAGATTTTATCTTTCAGCAGGACGGTAACTTTTACGAACAAGTACAAAAAAGATATGAAGAAACGAAAAAGACTTTAGAGGAATTTATTAAAAATTCGTACAAGTCTTGACAAAAATTAGAGAAGTAGAAATTAGGATGGGAAAACTTCATTATTTATTGGAAGACGGCGAAACCGATGAAGATATACAAGAAGATTTAAAAGAAGAGTTACAAAAAATAGATGCTTAATAATGGAAATAACTGTGGACAATGAACAGGATGCACTAGAAGAAAGTGAAATAGAAAGATTTTATACAATGAGAAGGGTGCGGTCGATTATAAAAGAAAATAAGAGATTAGAGGCGGAAGGATGCAAGAAAGACAAAATAATATTACCCCAAGTAAAGTTACCCTGTTTTGAGGGAAGGTATGAATCCTGGGTAACATTCTATGATATTTTTAAACGTTTGATACATGAGAATAACCAACTATCAAATGTGGAAAAAAATGCAGTATCTGAAGACAAGCCTCCGAGGAGAAGCAAGTAGAATAATACAACATTTAAACACAACAGAAGCAAACTACTGTACTGCCTGGAAAATGTTCAAGATCGGTACGATAATCCAAGGAGGATATCTATTTATATTACTAGACAAACTACTTCAGGCTGCGGAGATAAAAGAAACGTCAGCAAAGGCGCTGAAAACATTACATGATACTCTCCACGAATGCGTAGAAGCCATTAGTGGACTAGGTATAATGACACGAGTCCTGGTGCCCTCTTATAGCAAGGATAAGTATGTTAAAGTGGGACACAGAAACCAGAAGATTATATGAAACGTCAATTCAAGACAGTAGGGACATTCCGACATATAAGTCAACACAGGAATTCCTACAAAGAAGATTCCAGACATTGGAGATGTTGGAAACAGAAAGGAAAGGAACAGATCATAGACAATAGATAAAGAAGAAGATAACCTGTGTGGGGTGTCATGAGGAACATAAACTATTGAAATGTACAACGTTTCTACGTCAACAAGTACGTGAAAGAAACAAAATCGTAAAGAAAAAGCAAAGGTGCGGTAGATGCTTACTACACAAAAGGAAAGTACTTAAAAGATGTTATTCCTCTCATAGATGTGCAGAATGTGGTAGACAGCACCATTCATTACTACACATGTCAGAAGGTCAGTATGATAACAGAAGGAATTCTGAAAACAGAAGGCCACAAAATATACCCAATTCTAGTGGGACCAGAGGTGACAACAGTTACTACGGATACACACAAATCAACACTTTTACTCCACAAATTCAACCTTTTATTATACCTATCAACGTCGATCAACAAGAAGCGGACAAAGGGGCATTTACAAACCGATTCGAACCTCAAAATTACGTTCGAATCTTTGTTTGTTTTCTACTTTTTCCACATACCATTACTTTCGTCTTCTCATTGATTTCTATGTCCGTCATATAATTTCCATGTTTCTGCTCTAATTTCTTTAATTATGTCGCAAGACAATGTTAAACAGTATGGGGCCTAGGACTCCTCCTTGAGGTAGACCCTCATTTACTGTGAACTCTTCGGATTCCATATTATCGGTTCTGATTCTGTCCCTTGTACGTCTAATATATACTCATAATGGCTCGCCTGAATTTAATTTTCACACCTTTCTTTTTTAAACATGTGTCAATCACCTTCCTTGGAGTACTATCAAATGCCTTTTCTAAGTCTATAAAGGCTTGGTATAACTTAGTGCTTGAGTTCCGTGCATTTTGTATTAGTTTCTTGATAGTCAAAAAGTGTTCTTGGATACTTCTGCCTTTTCTGAATCCACTCTGTGATTGTTCCATTTTAGAATCGACTTCTTGTAAAATATGTTTTTCTAGTATTCTCTCATATACTTTGGATGGGATGCTCAGTAGTCTTATTCCTCTGTAGTTACTACATTCCCGTCGGTCTCCCTTTTTGAAAATGAGTAGAATAACTCCCACTTCCCAGTCTTTTGGTATTTCTATTATGCTTTTGTATGATTTATTTTTTTTTTCTGCTATAGTTATTTCATCTTGAATTTGATCTTCTTGCTCTACCTCTTATGGTACTTCTGTGATAATGTCTACATCGTTTTGGATATTCAGTAGATCCTCGAAATATTGCTTCCATCTATCTAGGATGTGCATCTACTGCATTGTCTTGCAGTAAGTGTCCTTCTTTGTCCCTTATTTGCTTTGGTGTTTGTGGAGACTTTTCGGTTCTTAAATTCTTCAGGGTTTTAAAGAATACCTTTTCGTTAGAGTGGTAGTCACTTCCATTTTGTTTCCGAATTCTTCCCAACTTTTCGGTTTCGCTGCTAGTACCATATCTCTGACTTTGATTATTTGCAGTTTATATATTTGGTAGTTGTCTGCAGTTCCGTTCCTTAAATAATTTTTCTAAGCTATCTTCTTGGACTGCTTTTATTTCATTGTTCCACCAGTTTGTACACTTTTTGCTTCTGTTATTTCTTGTTATTCCGCATGCTTGTTTATCACCGTTTAGGAGTGCTTCTTTCAGTATTTGCCAATTTTGGTCTAAGTTCCAGTCGTGTTCAGCGTGCTCTGCTAGGTAGTTTTTAACGTAGTTTTCAAACTTGTTTGCTGTCTCCTTGTCCGCTAGTCCTACTACTCTGAAGTAACGAATACTTTGTAACGAATAGTTACTTTTTCTCCAACACTAAAATCGAGACATGTCATATCTGTCACACTGCGCAGTGTAGGTTTAAAATCCTCTTGTTCTAACATTTAGTTGTCAGCATGTTTTGGCTATCAAACAAATAATTCCATATATCATAAAAATGTTGTTAATTTCATATTTACAATTAAAAAAAATTAACATAAAAGAATTTCAATAAATTGGTATTTTATTTGCAAAATAACTGCTTGTTCCAACATATAGTTGTTAGGGCTCGTAAAAAATAATGTAAAACTATGAATATTATAATATCTGCAAACCTAAAAATTATCTCAATGCATTTTTTTTCTGTGATAGATGAGAAATATATATGGTGAACCATCAATAGAGGGTGTTCTGAATTCTATTAGAAAGCGATGATAAACAAATTAGAACAATATAAGCTTCAATATGATATTTTCCTGTATTTTTGAATAGTGATAGAATAGAATAGAACTATGCTTTATTGTCACTAAAAATTGTACAATTTTATGGAGAAAGCTTACACAGTCAGAAAAATATCAATTAATTTAAAATTTACAGAAATTACATAAATCGTCAATATCACAAAATTAAAGATAATAAAATAAACAAACCATTAAAAAATTTAAATAAATTGCAAATTCCATAATAAAACCGTACGAACTTAAACTAAGTTTAAGTTGCTGCATGTGATACTCAAATAATTATATAAATACTTTAGTTACTTGTACATAAAAGTACTGCTAGTTATTAGTAGTGATGGGCGAAATGACTCATTTGAATGTTTCGAATCATTTGAATTAACTCACTGTGATGTTTCGAAACAATGATTTGAAACATTGAAACAATTGACACATTCTACCCGATACTGTAACTTCATATCATAACAACTCATTTTGGGTTGCTAGGCAAACTGCATAGCTGAGAAGGACAAGTAAGAAGAAGGGCAGCAAACTGAGAAGGACAGTACTGGACGAAGGGAGAAAAATGGGAAAATCCTGGCTTGAAATCAAAGCACTAGCCAGAAATAGAGTTCGCTGGAGACACTTTGTGGAAGCCCTATGTTCCTCTTAGGAATCTTGGGACTATATATATGCAAACTGCAAAGATATATTTCGTGCAGACTGCCGATTCATTTTCTGTAAGGCACGTAACAGCAATGTGATTGTTAAAGCATTGTGAGGATTTCTGAACGACTAGGGATTTGAGCTTGCACAAATTTATTGTTTTAGGTCTTAGGTGTAGGTGTAGGTTAAATATGTTTAGTCTGGTTTTATTTAATTAGATTTTTTTCTCGGTGGTATAGATCTTCATTACCATTTTTAAATGAATACTAATCATTACCAGAACGAAAATAGGTACGTGCTATGTGGTGTTATTTACGTTAAAAACTTTGAAATAAAAATGATATTTCATTATTACAGACTGGAATATAGAAATTTTTAACATTTTTAAAGTTAAAAACAACTTAACATTTACATCAACTTAAAACAACTGTGATGGTTTCAAACTAAAAATCAGTCAGCAGTTAGCCACTTGTTCTTTGAGTTTTAAAATTTTTCCGACTGCTAAC